ACTCGACGACCTTCTCGAGAAAGGTTGGATTCATCCTAGCTCTTCGCCATACCCCCGTTCTCTTCGTTCGAAAGAAGAACAAGGATTTGTGGTTGTGCATCGATTATCGCAAGCTCAACGCACAAGCCGTCAAGAACGTCGGCCCTCTTCTGCGCATCGACGACCTCCTCGAACTGCTGGGCGGCGCCAAGTTTTTCTCCAAGCTTGATCTCAAATCGGGATATCACCAACTCGAGATCCGACACGAGGACCGCTACAAGACCACGTTTAAAACGCGATATGGGCATTTCGAATGGCTGGTTATGCCTTTTGGCCTTACGAATGCCCCGACCATGTTCCAAGCAGCTATGACAACGGAGTTCCGACACATGCTGGATAGATTCGTACTCATCTACCTCGACGACATCTTGGTGTACAACCGGAGTTTGGACGAGCACGTGGAGCACCTGCGCACCGTTTTGGAGCGGCTACGACAAGCCAAGTACAAAGCCAACAACGACAAATGCGAATTCGCGCGGCAAGAGCTGGAGTACTTGGGACATTATGTGACACTGCAAGGCATCCGTCCGCTTGGAGTACTTGGGACATTATGTGACACTGCAAGGCATCCGTCCGCTTGCGGACAAGATCGAGGCCATCCGCGTATGGCCTGAGCCCACCAACACCACGGACGTTCGCTCATTCATGGGGTTGGCAGGCTACTATCAACGCTTCATCACCGGGTACTCAAAGATTGCCGCACCTATGACGAGATTACAATCGCCAAAGGTGCCATTCGTATTCGATGACGACGCACACCGGTCATTCCAAGCACTCAAAACGGCCATGCTCATCCCACGGGAACCCACGGCGAGTTGCGCCCGATGCCTATCCCACGGGAACCCGGCCTCTCCATTGCCATGGACGTCACCAGTCCGTTTCCGCGCGACCGCCTCGGGCACGACGGCATCCTCACGGTCGTTGACCGTTTGAGTAAGCATGCGCGATTTCTTCCTTGCAAGTACTACGTCACGACTCCCGAACTTGCGCGCCTCTTACACACCAGCTGGATTTGCAGCCATGGCGTACCGAAAGACATCGTCAGCGACCGCTGCACTCGCTTCATGTCGGCATTTTGAACTTCTCTCATGCAGGAATCCGACATGAAGATGAAACCAAGTTCGGCTCGGCATCCACAAACGGACGGGCAAACGGAGCAGGCACATCAAACCGCTCAAATGATGTTTCGTACGCTCATCAGTCCGGATCAGAAGGATTGGGTTGACCACCTCCCCGACATCGAGTTCACCTACAACACTTAGTTGCATCCGGCGATTGGCATGACTCCATTCGAGTTGCACCACGTTGGCCGGAAAGGCCGTATCTTCGCTGATCTTCTCCTCCCACTAACAGCCGACATAGACGCTGCTTGCTCCCCCGCTTTCGTCCGGAAGTACAGGGAATTGCTGGCTCAAGCCCGCGCGAACATGCAAAAGGCTCACGTCCGCATGCAGCAGCAAGCCAACAGGCGTCGTGTGCCATGTCCCATCCGCGCCGGTGATCTGGTGTGGGTCTCCGCGGAAGAGTTTGCACTCGAGCAGGATGTTTCACGCAAACTGTTTCCCAAGTGGTTTGGACCATGGCCCGTAACATCAGCCGCGGGCGATGAGCCTGATGGCCCCTCATTTGTGATCAACACCCCCCCGCATCTGACGGTCCATCCAATCTTTCACGCCTCAAAGCTGGCGACATATACACCAGCTAAGAGCGACACCCCCCCGCCCTGCAACTGCAGGCAGTCGGAGGCAGTCAGGAGGCAGGCTGAGGTAGTACATAGGGAGTTCCCACGCACTTCACGGGCAGGCAAAAGGCAGGAGTAGTCTTCAGGATTCGACCGCAGCACTCTAGAGGAGCGTTGCGGGAGTAGCTTTAGCGCTAGCAGTAGTCTTCAGCGCTGGGCGCTAGTAGCTGTAGTGGTAGTCTTCAGCGCTGGGCTGGAGGA